CCCTGCTGCAGTCACTGGGGTGTGGGTCCCGGGGCAGCCTCTGCACCCACCTTACATCAACCCCAGGTGTCGGCTCAGTTAAGGAACTGGCCTGGGAGCCCCACGCAGCCCAGCTGGAGCAAAGCAGCAGCTGCCCACGGTCAAAACTCCTAATGCTGCCCAGTCGGGGTGACTGCAAGGCCTTCTGAGATAGCCCCAGAATGGCCTTGCTGGTATTGGGAGCATAACCTGAAATCGCAAACTTTATGCCTATCTTTTCTAGAGTTAACTCTGCCCCAGTTCTACAGCTTTCTGCATGAGATGGAACGGGTCAAAACCAGCCTGGAAAGCTTCAGCTGAGGCTGCAGCGGCCTCGACAGACGAGTCTCCGGGAGGCTTGATGTCTCCTGTGGGCCTGCAGATCTGCTCTTTCCTGGCTGGCTCCAAAGCTTGATAAGAAAAGGCAATCCTGTGCAGCAGCCGTGGTGCGCAGAGCCAGRAGGACACGCTCGTTGCTTAGAACCTGAAACTTCTGCCACCCTTTCGAGGCAGCTACGAGAGCAAGTCCATTCCCCCCTTCTTTTTATGCTCTTAGGAGAAACTGTTGTCAGAGGTATATAAACCCTTGTCTTGAAATAGCAAAGAAATAAAACCATTAATGCCCATCTCCTTTTGTACCAACATCTGATTTTTTTTTTTTTTTTTTTTTTTTGAGAAAGAGGGAAACACAAGCCAAGTATTATTTTAAAACTTGGAAGAATTAAGCAAAAGGCAGAGAAGTGAGCGGAGCCCTAACCTGCAGAATCACTTCATGCTGACCTCCCGTTTCCCCAGGAAGGAGTGATAACGTGTCCCAATCACGCCTCCTTATGGAGAAGTGTCTAAGTGGGAGATGATTTTAAAACTTAAACAACCAAACAATTGCCTTGGTGCAAAGGGGAAAGAATGTCTTGGGGGGATCTAGACAAACCTGTTTGGTGTATGTGGGGCTCTAGTGAACATCCCTTGGAGCTGCAGTTTGTGTGAAATAACAGAGACGGCTGCCGCCGTTTCCCCCGTGGGGTCCTGACCTGGCCCCGGCACAGGGGAAGGTGCCGCGTCCCGTGAGGCTGCCCCGTGTCTCAAGGGTCCAGCTGTACAGGAGTGGGGTTCCTGCAACCCCTGGGCAGCCTGGGCTCGGCACAAACCCTGAGCTCGGCACAAACCCTGAGCTCGGCGCAAACCCTGAGCTCGGCGCAAACCCCGAGCTCGGCACAAACCCCGAGCTCGGCACAAACCCTGAGCTCGGCACAAACCCTGAGCTCGGCACAAACCCTGAGCTCGGCACAAAACCTGAGCACAGTACATACCCCGAGCTCGGCACAAACCCTGAGCTCGGCCCCAGGCCCGGGGCTGCTCCCTCTTCCCACGCCTGCTCCCCCGGGCTCTCCCCAGGAATGGGATGTCCCCGATGAGGCCGGGTGGCAGTGGGTGATCCCTAGCACTGCGAGAGGTGCCCGTATCCCATATCCCGTATCCTGTATCCCATATCCCGTTCTGGGGTTTCCAGCCGACACCTGGAGCATCCCAGCAGCAGGGGTACCGCAYGCTGCTGCAGAACAGCGAGCTCCACGGCTCCTCTTGGAGGGTTTGCTCCRATTAGAGCCGGGCACAAGGAAGCTGCAAAGCTCTGCAAGCTGCTGCTCTCAGTGATGTCCAGCTTGCAGAAAGCGGAGCGTTTCCCTGCACTGCCTGCAGTTCTGCGCCGGGAGCCAGGAGCAGCAGCACACAGAGGCCCTGCCACGTGCTTGGGAAACGCACGGGGAATCCTGCTGGCAAACCCAGACACAGTGTTTGAGTATTTGTTTTCTAACATACCGGTCCATTCATAAGCATTTTGAGCTCTGTCACATGATCATGGTAAATTAAAAAAAAAAAAAAAGAAAAGAAAAGAAAAGAAAAAGAAAAAAAGAAGCTGCTGAAATAGCATGCTACAAATATCGCCTCTCCTTTTAGGTGGCTGAAAATGCTATTTTGGGAAGGAAGGGTCCGAAGGGCTGTTTTCTCAAGACAAAAGGAATTTCTTTGCCTCACATTTTCTGCTGCCTGTTCCTATTATTTCTGCTAGGCCTCCCGGTGCCAGGGCAGCATCGCTCGGCCGTATCCTGTTTCAGTGGGAGGGGGCCGTGGCGGCGCTCCAAGGATGCCGCTGTCAGCCGCGGGTCAGGAACGCTGAGCGCTGCCGCCTCCGGCACGGCCGCAGGATGCTCGGGATGGGGCCACGAGGAGGAGCGCGGCTGCAGAGAGCACCGCGCGGAGAAACGCAAGGGAGGACAATGCCTCGAGCGCGTGGCAGGAAGAAATCCCAGGAACATGATGCCCTGCATGCATGGCATGGAGAAACACAGGCAGGGATGATGCCCTGCAYGCATGGCATGGAGAAATGCAAGAAGGGGTGATACCCTGCATGCATAGCATGGAGAAATGCAAGGAGGGGTGATGCCCTGCACACATGGCATGAAGAAATGAAAGGAGGGGTGATGCCCGCATGCAGAGCATGGAGAAATGCAAGGAGGGATGAAGCCTGCATGCAGAACAAGGAGAATTGCAAGGAGGGGTGATGCCCGCATGCAGAGCACAGCCCGAGGAGCGTGGGGCACGGCGGCAGCTGCCCCCTTGCAGCCCCTTTGCAGCGGCAGCCGGCGGGGGCTGCTCCGGGGCCGTTTTCCTGGGGTTTCCGGGCCAGCGGCTCCCCCCGCCGCAAGCGGCTTTTCCGGCCGCAAGCAGCCAGCCGAGCGCTAATCCGGGCAGGCCGGTGGGCGCGGGGGGAGCCGGGGCCGCCCCGCGCGGTTTGGCGCTCGCTCGGCCCCCTTCCGCCCGGGGCAGCCGCCCGGCGCTCTGTGCCCCCCTGCTCCGGCCCCGCTGCCGCCCCGCGGCCCCCGCGCGATGACGGTTATYGGCGGCGGCAGCCGGAGGGCAGCAGGAAGCAGCAGCACCCGCGTCACCCCCCGCCACATCCCCCCTCCACGCGCAGGAGCCGCCAAGCAGAGCATGAGGCGCTGGGACAAGCGCTGCCCTCCGGGCAGATAGCGGCCCTGGAGCCGGGATCGTGCTCCCGCGGGAGCCCAGCAACACTGAGGCTGCTCCCTTGGGACACTCGGTCCCTGTCCCCCTTTTCCAACATGGACAGGGAGCCCCATGGTGGCCAGCAGCAGCAGGAGCATCCATGCACCTCGAGCACCCAGATCAGCTGTTGGGTTGCCCAGAGTGGCTGCAGGCCCCTCGAATCCGGTCRCTGCATTTGCCTGCACGTGGGGTGCAGGGATGTGGGCTAAACGGGYCCCAGAGATGCTCCCGCTGGCCCAGATGGCCAGTGTCGCCCTTCTGCACCGAAAGCGGGACAAGGCAGCTCCCCGGGAGCCAGCCTGCAGCCTGGCGTGGGGCAGGCGTGTCCTGCACCACCCTGCTCCCCCCGAAACACCCTGGAGTCACCCCAGCTGCATAATGGGAGTGTGGCCCCAGCTCGTGCAGGAGGGGCAGGGCAGCGCTCSGAGCTTGTCCTCCCTGCTGAGCCTTTGCCATGTCCCCCGGCTTCGCTTTGTCCTGCACGGGGAACAATTGGGAGGGCTGCGCCAGACCACAGCCACCCGGAGCAGCGGGAATCCAGCCCGCCCGCCTGCGGGGGGCCTGGCACAAAGCGGGCGGCTCCGGCGCTGCAACCACTGCAGTCCCCAGGGAGAGCGGAGGGATCTCAGCAGCCCCCCAGCGAAGCCAAGACCTTGATGAGGGAGTCGGGCTCCCCCCGGCCTCCCCAGGGGTGAACATCCAGCCTGAGCGGCTGTGCTGCAAGGAGGCCCCGTGGGCGCATGCACCCCTTGCAAGGACACCCCGTGGGTGCATGCACCCCTTGCAAGGGTTCCTCAGCTTGCATGGACATGGAGGGACATGGCAGGCCCCCAGCCCTGGGGTCCCTGGGCTGGCAGCGGGACTGGTGCTGGCAGAGCCACCAGCAGAAGCTGCCAACACGCAGAAGGGGCCAGCGGGTCTGCGCAGGCGCCACCGCCCTGTCACCCATTTCTGCACAGCAGCTGCTGTCACGGAGGCCTGGAGGGTGCAGCGACGTGTCCATGGCTGCTGCAGGAAGAACCGCGTGGTTCCCGGCCCACGTTGCAGCTGGGCCGGCACCATGGCGGGGCTTCACCAGGCTCGGAGCCGCTGCGACCATTTCCCAGCGCTCCCCCTCGCCTCGCGCAGCTCCATTTTATAGGTCTGCTGTGTCCCAGGGGCACGGCGGGCGGAGGCAGCCACTGCCGCAGACACCCCGGGCAGCAGAGCACAGCACAGCGAGCAGGGCTCACCGCCCCGGGCCGGCCGTGCACGGGGAGCAGGGTTAACCCTCATGCTGCTGCTGCCGCCTCTCGCAGCCCTAAGCAGCATCCTGGAAGCCCCAGCCACCCCACGGGACCGCGCTGCTGCGGGGAGCCCGGGGCCGGTCTGGTGCTGCGGCACTGCCGAGCCTGTGAACGAACCCCAGGCCCCGGGATGGCCRTGTCAGCACCCAGACCTCCTCACTGTGACACTGGACACTGGGTTCAGGATCACTGTTCAGTGATCCTGAACAAGACTGGGGGGGCGCTGCCAAACCACGGGCAAGAGGCACCACTTGGATGGGGAACTGAAGCGTGAGCAGGAGGCGCATCTGCAGCCGCCTCATCCCGGTCACCCCCAGCCCCGATGCCTGGGGGCTTGGAGAGCCCCCACCGTGCTGAGCCACAGCCCCCGAGCTGCCCCACGGTGCCCTGCTCCTGCCCCCCACCCGGACTTGGGTCCGTCCCAACCGTCCTTCCCCGGTACCACGCTCGGTCCATCCCAATCCAACCCCCCCCCTCCACTCCCTCGGTACCGCGCTCGGTCCATCCCACCCTCCCGCGCGGAACCGCGCTCACCCCCCCGCTGCGCCCCGCGCGGCCGGCAGGGGGCG